CTCTCTTCGTTTCAGTAGTGTCAAGCTTGAAAGTTGAATTCAACTATTCGACTATTTAACTATTCAGCTATTCAAGTATTCAACTATTTAAGTATTCAACTATTCAAGTATTCAACTATTCAACTATTCAGCTATTCAAGTATTTAACTATTTAAGTATTCAACTATTCAACTATTCAACTATTCAACTATTCAAGTATCCAAGTACTCGATTAGTCAACGTCTAGAATGCCACCAGGATCATCTAACATCGATAGGTATATCTGGGATGCTACAAGCATTCCCTAGGGTTCTACAGGTTTTGATTGAGATGCTTCAGACATTATCTGGAATGCTACAAGAAGTATGTGAGAAGCTTGAGCTACTGTGCAGAACTTATTAGGAATAATTGTGTACACAGAGACGTACATGAGTCGCGGCTCCTCGGGAGCGCTTCGTGTCCCCCACGCCACGACGCTGAAGTAAAAGGTGTGTCAGGCTGGAATACGCGCTTCCCCACTGAATATTCGCAGAACACTTGAGAAGTTAAAATTTGAATAGTTGAATACTTGAATAGTTGAATACCTGAATAGTTGAACACTTGAATACTTTAACTGATAGTTGAATACTTGAATTCAAGTTTCAAATATTACATGTATGGTATCTGTCTTAGGCATATAAACACAAACAAGTGGGCTGGCTCTATGATCTGTTGTTCCTCTGGTTATAATACAGTTCTGTGTCAGAATTCGTCCAAATATCTTAAAATGTTGTATTTTAGACGCAGTTAGACGCATTATCAATAACGAGCGTATTCAGACCAGTCTCAATCGAAAAAACTGGCATACGTGTTTCATACTATTAGAGTGTCTATACGATGTTTTATATTGGTGTCTAGAAAGTTCGATGAGCTTTTGTAGAAACTTGTTTCAACTTCCAGGACAAGTCAATTTGATTCATGAAGATTTGTCAAAGATATACAGGGTGAATTATCTTGACCAACGCTACGATCAATATCATCATCATGACTGTTATCATTTAACCGAATGGATCTTATGTCAATAACTTGAAAATAAAAGGAGTGTCCTGAAACTAATAGAAAGCTTCCGGTCAGGACGCGTATACACCTAAAAATGTTGCATTTTGGACGAGTAAAAAACGCGTTTACCTTAAAGATATTCAAACACTTGGAAAGAAGCTATGATTCAAAAAGTGGCGACAAGAGAAAATATTTCGTCGATACATAAAGTTTCCAAATATTCTTCATTTGCTATGTTGACTCTGTATATCTGAGTCACTTTTGAGCATGCTTGGAATAAATATTGAAATTAAAGATCTTTTCGTATGGTCTTAAAACTACTACATGCCTAGAAAAATGCATATGTTGATGGGAAGAAGTCAAATGTCGAAAAATTTCAGAAGCCTTTGTAAATTGATTTCAATACAATAATACAAAATTTACTCAGCACTAGGACGTAGTTGTACTTATGGATCCTGTTTATTTGGATAAAAAGCTGCAATAATTGACATGAATGAAAGAGAAGCAAATTAAAGTTAATTTGTGCTCGCTTTATACAAGCATGTAGTTCTTGAATAATTTATTTCTGACAACTGTATGCATTGTTATTTGACTTCGGTATATATAAGATCAGAAAAAAAATACGTGGCGTGAAAGAAAATGAAGCAATGTTTTTCAATGAAAATTGATTCTTATTCTATTCTCACGGTTCTTCGAAGTGATCAACTAATCAATTATTGATTAATATTATACTGATCGATGATTAAATGCTTACTGTTTCAGGAAACTAAAACAGTTTACTACGATTTTATTAGTCAAAGCTATGGATAAAATATTGAAAAACTTTTTTATGGAACAATTAGGACATGTGACTCTAAGCTTATATAAATCTAGATGGCAGGGAATAAGATCCATAAATGGCGATTACTATTACTGCATCTTTTCTTATCATAAAGGTCGAATTATCGATGACAAGATATGACTGATCCTTTTACTGCA